AAGAGTTATTCTTCGAAAAGGTAAACAAAATCGATAAACCTTTAGCCAGACTTATCAAGAAAAAGAGTCCAAATCAATAAAATCAGAAATGAAAAAGAAGTCAAACTGACACCACAGAAATAGAAAGAGTCATAAGTGAAAGTGAAAGCCGCTAAGTCATGTCTGACTCTTTGTGACCCCAAGGACTATACAGTCCATGGAATTCTCCAGGCCAGAATACTGGAGTGGGTAGTCGTTTCCTTCTTCACTGGATCTTCCCAACCCAGGGATCAAACTCAGGTCTCCCGCATTGCTGGAGGGTCCTTTACCAGCTGAGCCACCAGAGAAGCCCAAGAATACTGGAGTGGGTAGCCTGTCCCTACTCCAGCAGGACTTCCTGACCCAGGAATTGAAGTGGGGTCAATTGCAGGAGAATTTCTTTACCAGCTGACCTACTAAGGATCATAAGAGATTGCTACAAATAAGTATATGCCAATAAAATGGACAACCTAGAAGAAATGGACAAATTGCTAGAAATGTACAATCACCTAAAAGTGAATCAGGAAGAGACAGAAAATATGAACAGACCAGTTACTGAAATTGACTCAGTAAAAAAAAAAAAAAAAACACCTTCCAACAAGCAAAAGTTCAGAACCAGAATGTTTCTACTAAAGATGAATTCTACCAAACATTTAAAGAAGATTTAACATCCATCTTTCTCAAACTATTCCAAAAAACTGAAGAGGAAGAAACACCTCTGAACTCATTCTATGAGGCCAGTATCACCCTGATATCAAAACCAGATAAAGATACCACGAAAATATAAAAATTATAGGCCAATATCACTGATGAACAGAGATACAAAAATCCTCAATAAACAAATCAGCAAATGGAATTCAACAATACATTACACATGTACACCATGATCAAGTGGGATTTATCCCAAGGATGCATGGATGGTTCAATGTCCAAAAATCAATCAATACCACATTAACAAACTGAGGAGGAAAAATCATATGGTCATCTCAATAGACGCAGGAAAAAGCTTGTGACAAATTTAACATTCATTTATGATTAAAACTCTCTATAAAGTGGGCATAGAGGGGATACACCTCAACATAATAAAGACCATAAATGACAAGCCCACAGCTAACATCATACTCAATGGTGAGAAGCTGAAACATTTCCTTTAAGATCTCATCACTTTTATTCAACATAGTATTGGAAGTCCCAGCTATAGGAAGTCAGACAAGAAAAAGAAATAAGAAATTCAAATTAGAAAGGAAGAAGTAAAACTGTCAGTATGAAGATGATATACATAGAAAATTCTAAATGAATTTGGTAAGTTTAAAAATTTGCAACTTTACCAATGAATCTGGTAAAATTGCAGGATATAAAATTAATACACAGATATCTGTTGCATTTTTACATACTACCAACGAACTATCAAAATGAGAAAATAAGAAAACAGTCCCATTTATAATTGCATCAAAAAGAATAAAATACCTGGGAATAAATCAAACTAAGGAGGCAAAACACCTGTACTCAGAAATCTGTAAGACAGTGATGAGAGAAACTGAAGACATCACAAACAAATCAAAAGGCACCATGCTCAGGGATTGGAAGAATTAAAATTGTTAAAATGACTATGCTACTCAAGGCAATCTGCAGATTCAATGCAATCCCTGTCAAAATACCAATGGCATTTTTCAAAGAACTAGAACAAATAATTCTAAAATTTGTATAGAAACACACACAAAAAAACACGGAAAGTCACAACACTGAGAAAGAACAAGATTAAAAAATGGGCAGACTGACTAGACATGGAGAATAGAGATTCTTCAAAAATAGAACTACAATACAATAGAGTAATTCCAGTCCTGTGTCTTTATCTGATGAAAATGAAGACATTAATTCAAAAGATATATTTACCCCATGTTCACTGAAGCATTATTTATAACAGCCAAGATATGGAAGCAACCTAAGAGTGCCCACGGATAGGTGAATAGATAAAGAAGATGTTTTATGTGTGTGTGTGTGTGTGTGTGTGTGTGTGTGTGTGTGATGGAATGTTACTCAGCCAGGAAAAAGAAAGCAACCTTGCCATTTGTGTCAACATGGTGGACCTAAAGAGTATCATGCTAAGTAAAATAAATCAGACAAAAAAAGACAAATATTGTATGATTTCACTTATGTATAATCTATAAAACAAATGTAACAAAGCAGAAATAGAGTCACAGATACAGAGAACAAACAGGTAGTTGGGGGAAGGGTAAGGAGAGAAATAGGTATACATTAAGCAACAGAAACTTCCAGTTGCAAAATAACCGAGTCCTAGATATGAAATGTACAGTGTAGGGAATATAGTCAATAATTATGCATGGTGACAGATGATAACTAGACTTATGATGATGATCATTTTGAAATATTTAAATTTAAATATTTTTATTTTTTTAAATCACAGTGTTGTATACCAAGAACTAACATAGTGTTGTAGGCTAACTATACTTCAAAAACAAACTCACAGAGAAAGAAATCAGATTTGTGGTGGAGGGAGAGGGGAATGAATGAAGGCAGTCAAGAAATATCAACTTCCAGTTATAAGTAAATACTAGACATGTAATATACAGCATGATAAATACAATTGAAACTGATGAAAGTTGTTAAGAGTAAATTTTCAGAGTTCTCATCAGGAGGAAAAAAATACATTTTTTTCTGTTTAAGTTTGTAACTGTATGAAATGATGGATGTTCACTAAATATGGTAATCATTTCATGATGTTTGTAAGTCAAATCATTATGCTACACATCTTAAATTTATGTAGTACTGTGTGTCAATTGTGTCTCAATAAAACTGGAAGAAAAAAATAATGTATCACCGTTGGTGCATCAATTGTAACAAACGTGCCACACTAATGCACAATGTTAATAATAGGGAAAACTGAGGCAGAGGAAGGAATATACTAGCATTCTCTGTACTTTCTGCTTAATTATTCTGTAAACTTAAAACTGCTTTAATAAGAATCTATTTTACATGTGTATGTGTTAATTGCTCAGTCGTGTCCGACTTTTGTAACCCCATGGGCTGTAGCCTGCCAGACTGCTCTGTCCATGTAATTCTCCAGGCAAAAATACTGAAGAAATGGAGTGGTTTGCCATTTTCTTCTCCAGGGTTTCTTCCCCACCCAGGGATCCAACCTGGGTTTCCTGCGTTGCATGCAGATTCTTTAACAGGGAAACACCTATTTTTTAATATATACCTAATGGACCTAATGGGTAAAACGGAGAAGGCAATGGCAACCCACTCCAGTACTCTTGCCTGGAACATCCCATGGACGGAGGAACCTGGTAGGCTGTGGTCCATGGGGTCGGGAAGAGTCCGACACGACTGAGCGACTTCACTTTCACTTTTCACTTTCACGCAGTGGAGAAGGAAATGGCAACCCACTCGTGTTCTTGCCTGCAGAATCCCAGGGACGGCGGAGCCTGGTGGGCTGCCATCTATGGGGTCGCACAGAGTCGGACACGACTGAAGCGACTTAGCAGCAGCAGCAATGGGTAAAAAATAGCTGTTGAATGATTTGCTGAACAAGCAGGGGGTATGATTAGAGCAGAATAAATCCATGGGTTTGCAGAGTCGGAGAGGACTCAGCACGCGCGAGCGCTCACACACGCGCGCGCTCTCGCTCTCCCTCTCTCACACACACACACACATACACACACACACACACACACGCACGCACGCAGAGTCGGAGAGGACTCAGCACGCGCGAGCGCTCACACACGCGCGCGCTCTCGCACACACACACACACACGAGTAACAGAGCTTACACACACACACACACACACACACACACACACACACACACACACACACACACACACACACACACACACAGAGTAACAGAGCTTCCCAGGTGGCTCTCTGCCAGTGTGGGAGACGCAAGAGACATGGGTTCGATACCTGGGTTGGGAAGATCCCCTGGAGTAGGAAATGGGAAGCCAGTTCAAGATCGCCTGGAAAATTCCACCAGACAGAGGAGCCTGGAAGGCTACAGTCCATGTAGTCCCAGTCCATGCGGTCCCAAAGAGTCAGACACGGCTGAGCGACTACACACACACACACACACACACACACGAAACGAGAGACAAAGGAGGGGAATGATACCGCATTTCACAGAATTAAACCCGTTATAAAGGAAACTGCCAATAATATCAGATATACAAATATATTCATGAAAATTATATATTATAAAATTAAATGCCAGTCTTAGTCATTAGTTGCCAATATTTGAGAAATAGGCTATTTGTACCCTATCTTTGTCCAAACGATTTGCATATATTATGCAAATAAGTAGAACTACTCACAGAATGCCTGTGCTCCGCGATGCACTCCCCTGGACTCTTGGATTGGCCTGTCAATCCACTTTATTTGCATGACGTGATTTAATAAATGAAGGCCCCGCCCCCTCATGCTTTCACCTCTCGCGAAGATAAGCGTGAGTTGGAGCTCTTCCCTGGTTACGTAAGCTCCGCCCTCCGGCAGCTAATCCCTTCCGCCCAGTCTTCTAGCTGTATCTTCTTCGTGGGTACTACTATAGGCCTAGCATCGTTTCCTTCCACTCGGCGTCTCTACGTCTCTCCGTTCCCATCTTTCCACGAACGCACTACGCACGCTCCGCCTCTTTCTCCCCCTAGGCGTCGTGGAAATTCTGCGCCCCAACAGCCTGGCCGACCGGCACCGCATTCCCGCCCCCTCTACACGTCTCAACGGCCGACGCCGGGAGCCTGCCTCTTCAGCCAACCGGCGTCTTAGCGCCTACAAGTCCCTCCTCCTTATGCAAATGACTTATGTCAGTTTCGCACGCTCTGCTTTTTTTTTAAAAAAAGGGCAGGCCTGGAAGTAAAGAGGGATAGGGTAGAAAGCGCCCCGCCCTTTATGCAAATCAAGGGGCGTGTCTAGGCGCGGAGGGAGGCGGGGGGGGGGGCGCTCCCGGGGGCGGCGGTTGCCCGGATGGGCCGTTAGTCGGAGCCCAGCCGCGGAGTGAGCGAGGGAGACGGGAGGAGCCGAACCCGGCGCCATCCGCCGCCATCCGCCCCCGCCCCACCGCCATCCCACCCCGGGGAGCCCCCTAGGCCCTGGTCCCGGACCCCCGCGCACCCGGCCAGGTGAGTCTGGGCGAGCCGAATGCTAACGCCCTTTTCCGGCGCGGGAGCGGTGGTGGCAGCGGCGGCGGCCGTGGCGGCGGGCCGGGGGGAGGAGAAGCTGCCATTAGCCGCCGCCATTTTGTCCTCCTGCTGCCGGGCCCTGCCTGCCCCTCCCCCTCCGATACTCCCACCCTGGGACTCGCACCTCTAGCCCATTTCTGAGTCGATAACCTGCCCCTACCCACTCACCTTTGGCTTCATGGGGAGACCTCCCCCCGGCTCCTGGGCCATAACTCCCCACCCCCCTTGCGCTCCTGGACTATCACCCCTATTTATGGGTCCCCTTCCCTGCTGCCGCTGTGGGGTGGGCCGCGCCTGACTGTCCTACTCTTCAAGAGTCTTTCCTCCATAGTGGACCCCTCTCATCAGCCAGCGTTAAGGTCCCCTTTTCTTGACTTCCCACTTCGCGTCCAGTCACTCCCACTCTGGAACCCTGCTTTTATTCCCGCATCTGTGCTTTCTACGTTCCTCAATATCTTCTCCGCTTTTTTTATTTCTCATCTTCCTTATCACCTTTCTATCCCAGCCCCTCCTTTCTCCTGGGTCTTTCTGACATTGCTCCCTGTGGTCTGCATCCTTTTCCTGCCATTCCCGCTTACGTGTATTATTTTCCACAGGCTTTCATAATTCTTTTATTAATTTAGGTTTTTTTTTCATCTATCCCCGTTCCCTTCATAAATTTTCAGACTGGCTTTCTTAAACACCGCCAAAGCAACCCCCATCTCCTCATCTGATCTGTCGTAAAGTTCTTGATTTTAGTTACCATCTTGGTCTTGTCTGGCTATCTCACCAACTCCCTATCTCTTTCCTTTACCTCGTTGTCTACAAACAAATGCCTGGTCGCTCAGGAACACTGACTGATGTTGGAGAGTTTGGTCAGCTTGGGGAGCAAGGAGAATCAGGGAAAGAAATGACTGCTGATGGGGGATAGGAAAATGAAGTTGATTCCAGCCTTGGCCCCATGGTTACCTGGTATTCTTGACGTGGATCCATATGCTTTGTTTTACGCACATGGATGTAGGGTAAACCAGAGCCCACCAGTATTCCATCTGCAGACAAACTTTCTACCAGGAGCTGGGATGGGGGCAAGTGCAGGAAAAGATGGAATATTCAAAATACGTGATTCTGTAGCTTGGGAGTTTGTAGTGCCCCAGTTGTTCCCTGAGGAATTCTCTGGCACCAACCCTCAGTCTGGCTGAGCAAGCTCATAAAATCCTTAAACTCCTGCATACCTTCCTGCAAAACCTCCGCAAATGGGAGGGAGACTGCAGGGACTAGAACCAGGGGCAGACTTAGGAAGCTGGTGTCTGATGAGTAGGAGAGCTAAACCTCTCTTCCTTACATGATGGAGCTGTTTGCCTCTCTCTGGTTTTCTTTAGGGCTTGGACTTGCTGTTTTTATTGTAGGTCTCTGAAATTATTTTGATGGAGAGAGATTATTACTTGTGGGCATAATGAGGTTGCTACACTTTATAGACTGGCACAAAGGGGAGAGTGTTTATACTAGGAAGGTACTGGATTTTTATTTGGGTTTTCTTGGCAAGGGGTGTCTGGGGGAAAGAGGGAATATGGCATTTGGGCTCTGGGGGAACTAAGAAGATACGATGGTTGCTTAAAGGAACTGGGGTGTTTGAATAGGCTGGAGGAAGAGGTATAAGAGGACCGTATATCAGGTCCCCAATAAGAATAAAAGGGAGCATCTAGGCTTCTATTGGGAGGCCCTTGGTGGAGCAGAGAGTGAAACACTTGGTGTCTGGTCACAGGCTCCGGCACGTTTTGGGGGAGGCGCCTGCAGGACCCAACGTACTCAATGAGCTTCCAGCGCAATGTCCGATCGCTCGGGGCCGACTGCCAAGGGGAAGGATGGAAAGAAGTATTCCTCGCTCAACCTGTTTGATACATATAAGGGCAAGTCCTTAGAGATCCAGAAACCCGCTGGTGAGGGTCCTGCACTGATGTTCCTAATTATTGGAGGATGAGCATGAATGGGTCATGTATTTCAGAGCTCTTTGAAGGGAAACACTTGTAATACATATATCAAAAGGTTAGAGGAACACTAGAGACTTTCCAGTTTGTCCCATAGTGGACGTTGTGCTTTGGGTGCACACCAGCATCCTCTTACAAAGGCGTGTCTGTGGTTTTCTGTCTTTGGACACGTAAGAATTGGAGGCAAAGAAATGTGGACTTGGAGAAGTCTAGGGCCAGCTTGCTCCTTGCAGGCTCAAGATCAACCATCCCACATAGAATTACTGAGTGTAAAGCTTTTCAGCCTTCCTTGCTGATAGAATTTCGGAGATTGTCTAGGGCAAAGGGAGAGAAGGTTTCTAAGAGAAGACTTTGGGGATGTCGGTTTATGGGTCCTCGGGTAAGATGCTGTCAGATTTCCCATTAGAGGCATTTTCCATTCTCTTTCCACCTTTTCTCCAGTTGCCCCTCGCCATGGCCTGCAGAGTCTCGGGAAAGTTGCCATTGCTCGGCGTATGCCACCCCCGGCCAACCTTCCAAGCCTGAAAGCCGAGAACAAAGGCAATGACCCTAATGTCTCACTAGTGCCGAAAGACGGAACAGGATGGGCAAGCAAACAGGAGCAGTCCGACCCCAAGAGGTAGATGGAGACCTGGGGGATCTAGAGTTAGGAATGTTTAACTTTGAACTTCAGGATGAATTGGGGCTTGGTCTAACGTGGCCAAATGAGAGTCAAAGGCAAAGAGGAAAGACCCTCTTCTGCCTATTGCAGGACTCCTGTTAAATGCCTAAGGAATGGTACCTTTAGCTTTCTGTCAGGTGTAAGGAAAGTTTGAAGAACAGATGACAGTCTATGCAAGCTTGATGAGCTTATGGTACTTTGTCCATAATTTGTAAAACGTAGTGAGAAGGCCTGGGTTCAGTTCCTGTCCTCCACCAGTTGGAGAAGCAGAGGAGCCAGTACCATCTCAGACTCTGAATAACCTTCCCATCCTACCATCCCCTCAGTTCCGATGCCTCAACCGCTCAGCAGCCGGAATCGCAGCCACTGCCGGCTTCACAGACGCCTGCCTCCAACCAATCGAAACGACCGCCAGCAGCCCCCGAGGTATCTGAAGAACTGGGTGTTATTTAGGGAGCAGGGGCAAGAATGGCTTGTAGCTCCTTATCATGTCATTGTTCTCTCTCTGCCTCCCCAGAACACTCCTTCGGTTCCAAGCGGGGTAAAGTCCTGGGCACAAGCCAGCGTCACCCATGGAGCACATGGAGATGGTGAGTGCAAGGCTGTTTGAGGAGGTCTCTTTGGGCACCATAGTAGGCAGGAGTCCTGCATGGTACCTTCAACAAAGTGTCCTCATACTCTGTTGGCAAAATTTTGGATCACATATTTGGTTTTCGTGGGAGACACATGAGCAAGATTTGTTGCAGATCTATATGAAAGTGAGAGGTAGGTATCCCCAAACTGATCCTGTTCCTTGAATGAACACCTAATACATAGGGGGTGAGTTTGGAGGCAGAACTGGGTCTTGTATCTATCAGTCTTCCACTTTCACAGTGCATCCTCAGTAAAGATACTTGTGTCTCTTACTCTTGTACCTCAACCCCAACAGGTGGAAGGGCATCAAGCCTACTGTCACGATTCTCTCGAGAGGAATTTCCGACCCTGCAGGCGGCTGGCGACCAGGACAAGGCTGCCAAGGAAAGGGAGTCTGCCGAACAGTCGTCTGGGCCCGGACCAAGCCTCCGCCCCCAAAGTGAGTGGCTGCTATTAGTGAGTAAATGGGTTAGGAATCCACCTTTTGACCAGGACATTACCTTATTCCATTTCAGAGTGAAGTGCTGGCTTATTCATCTTTCTCCCCATCATTTTCAGCTATGTTCACTCTCTGTCTTTTCCAAAATACAGATTCTACAACTTGGAGGGACGGAGGTGGGCGTGGCCCTGATGAGCTGGAGGGCCCGGACTCCAAACTTCATCACGGCCATGATCCCCGGGGTGGACTGCAGCCTTCGGGCCCACCCCAGTTCCCTCCCTACCGCGGAATGATGCCGCCCTTCGTAAGTTTGGATATCTTGTTTTGGATTGATTGTGCTGGAATCTAGAGAGTTAGGAGTTACAGCTTAGTCTTTGGAGGGGACAGCTGGAAAGCAGAGGTCTATGAGGGTGGGAGGATGATAGGTTTAGGGCTGTGGTAGGCTGTTTGGCTGCTCCTCTAAGCGGCTACTCTTGGGCCCTTTTGCAGATGTATCCCCCATATCTCCCGTTCCCTCCGCCCTATGGACCCCAGGGGCCTTATAGATACCCCACGCCTGATGGGCCCAGGTGAGTAGTCTAGGTCTGGGTTTGTGCTTGGGGACAGGGGAAGCCTGCTGGGGAGAGGATGGTTTTCTAGTCAGGAGGCTCAGTCTGTGATTATACAATCCAGCCTTCTTTTATCTTCTCTCCTTTCCCTTTTCATACACAGCCGTTTCCCCCGAGTGGCAGGCCCCCGAGGGTCAGGGCCGCCAATGCGTCTTGTAGAGCCAGTGGGTCGGCCTTCCATTCTTAAAGAAGATAATCTCAAAGAGTTTGACCAGTTGGACCAGGAGAATGATGATGGTTGGGCAGGTCAGTGGATGTTAAGGACCGTATTTTAGTTTTATTTTGGGGGGTTGGGTTGGTTTTGGCTGCACTGTACAGCTCGTGGGATCTTAGTTCCCTGACCAGGGATCGAACACAGGCACTTGGCAGTGAAAGTGTGGATTCCTAACCACTGGACCTCCAGGGAATTCCCAAGTATTTCAGTTTTAAAAAGCAAAATCTATGAGAAAACAGCAGATCATTGTGGGAGAAAAGTAGATATTGAGGGATAGGGCAGATACCTGGAGGAAAGCCAAATCCTGGCGGAGAAGGAGTCAGGAGTGAGATTGACAGTCATGGATCTAGATGCCAGTGGAAAGAGGGCAGTTGGCCTTGGTAGCGCATCCAGTCGTGTAGTGATGCTCGAGATGGGAGCGCAGGATGCTGGGGTTACTGTGCTTCACTTTTCGCCTCAGGGGCCCATGAGGAGGTTGACTACACTGAGAAGCTCAAGTTCAGCGATGAGGAAGATGGGCGAGACTCCGATGAAGAGG